CACATGTGGTCAATCACAATAGATAGATTGTTCTGACATAAGTCCTATTCAGATAGCAGAGAAAATGAATCTGACTTCTTTCATGAATGAAGCAAATTCTTTGCTGAGGAAAAAAAAATCTCTACAGGAAAAGTCTCAAGAATTTTGTCTTTGCAAGGGAGGAAGAGCAAATGGCACAAGCTCTTCTATTTATGTGAGCTCTGAACAGGGTCTTGTATCACCCATCGGTGTGTTCAAGAGGGGATAATGAGTTGGGGTGAGTGTGTCAGCATACACATGCATGCTAACATTTATTAAGTGTGTTTGTTTTGTGTAAAATTTCGGGACTGCACGACTAATGCAGACATACATCTAATGACTTGTATGTCTGCATTGTGGAATAGAAGGGATGGCAAGATTGGAAAATAAGGAAAGAAAGATTATTCAGCAGCAGATTTTCAAAACACCCTCTACAGACTTAGGGCTTATGTCGGTGCTATAATAGTGAATATGAATACACACACATATGAATATATATTCCTTGCCTTACAGCCATAGTCTAACTGTGGCTTTGAACTGGAACTTCTCTTAGAATGCCACAAATCACCGTGACACAGGAAGAAGAAGATCACTTCACATCATATAAAATGAAGCCATACACGAAGATGTTTCCATTGCCAGCATCCATGTTCCCTGCACAGAGGGAGAGAGTTCCAAATACAGCAAGGCCTGGGGTAGGAGTCTTGATGTGGGGAAGCAAAGCAGAGTTGAGAGGCTGTGATTCTTCCACTTGGGAGGTAAAAAGCAGGTGTTTGGCTGGAGGGGAATATTTTACTGTCAGGTATTTCCTCAATCTTACCATTAAAACCATAGTTTGGGGTAGAAGTGAGGATTTGACACTTTAGCAAATGGAAATTTGAGAAAACACTTCTTACCAGGGCTCCAAAATCCTGTGGAGTATAGCCACACTGGAAACAGTGTGGAGCACCTGTAAGTGATATTCTCTTTCTTCCCCTCTGTATTTGTGTTTTCCAGGTTGCCTTCCAAATACTCATTGATCTTCTTGGCTCCATCTTTGAACTGTGAATTCTTTGCAAACATTAATCGTGGCTTGTTCACCTTCACATGTCCCCAGAGAGTCTCACAAAGCCCTTTACACCTTGACATGTATTTTCTTAAGCTGTGTAGGTTTTAAGAGGTGTTGTGGATTGAACGTAATTATGAGTTAGGAGATTTCAGTTTGGGGAGAGTCGGTCACTAGTAGGCTTTTTCTCCACAGGCAAGGCTGGTAGATGGTAGATGCCTTACAAAGTCCCCAGGATAATTTTGAACATGTGCTGTTCTGCAGCCCAAAATCTTTCTTTGAGAAAAATGTAAGGTTTCTATACCTGTGACTTTGGATCATGTATTCAATAAATGAATTAAAAATAAATTTTATTGCCTCTGTATTTACAAAATAGCTGTTAGAGCAATAAAGTAATAAATGGCTCTATGTAAACACGGGGGGGCAGTATATTTTGCCTTCTGATGCAATAAAGACTGTTACTTTCACGTATTGAAAATTATTACTGTGAGTTAACAGTAGGTCATTTCTGTTATGGAACATCTCGGCTTGTACCACTTCACTGGTGCAAATAGTAATCAATAACAAATTAACTTTCTATAGTGTACAGCAGCTTCTATGGAAAATAATTATATAACCAAGGGAAAATCTCCTTCAATAAGAATTTACTCCTTGTATCTCAAGCTCTATTTGCCCCTTTCCCTCTGACAAGTATTTTCAATAGATACATACTGTTTTATGCTCACATTTTGAAACAGATCTGCTCTTAGCACATTTCCAAACATTTGGTTAATTTTTCTGAAATCTAATGTCATTCATTTATCAGAGTTGAAGGTATGAAATGAAATTCACATTGAGTCCTGTTAGGAGTGCAGCTTTTTTATTTTATTTTATTTTTTTATTTTTTTTGAGATAACAAAGGCTTCAATGAGAACAAAGTCTTTGGGAAATGCTTTAAACTGCATAAGGAACCTGACCAGCACAAAAGAAAACAATTTCAGTTAATAGCCTTAGCCCAGTGTCACCTAAAATACCTGTTTTGTAAATGAGTCATTGAGACACAAATGATAAGTAGGTTTAAATGTTTTAAATAAAAGTTGTTGTGTTTGATGCCAAATACAGGACTTTTTTTTTTTTTTCTGAAAGTAACATAAAAGAAATAAATTTCCTATCTTAGTTATTTACCAGTCATTTGTCACAAAACACTGTGATCAGGACAAAAAAAAAATGTTTTTTTTAGCTAGTTTAATTGGACTTACAGTTTTAGAGGACGTGAGTCCATGATGGCAGGAACAGCTGAGAGCTTACATCTTGATTCCAACATTGGAAGCAGAGAAAACTTCACACACACCCTACACTTTGTTAGAGATGCACCTCCTCTAACAAAGCCACACCTCCTCAACCTTCTCAAATAGTTCCACCAACTAGAGACCTCACATATGAACTAATGGAGGCCATTCTCATTCTAACCACTAGGGTGACTATGATCATCATAAAGCTGAAGACTACTGGGAGACAGAGATTTGCTGGTACCTCCATTCTCTGCCTCTAATGCCTGTCTGTTGCCTTGTGTTCCTGAGGACTCCACAATGTTATAACACATACAGGAGTGATGGGCATCACAGCTTAGTGATTCTTTTGTTTTAATTTTAATAATTTTAAAAAGTAAAATATAATTACATCATTTTCCCCTTCCCTTTTCTCTCTCCAACTCCTCCCGTGTACAACACACACACACACACACACACACACTCACACATACACACACACACACCTTGTTTATTCGCAGTTTCATGCCCTCTTTTACTTTAACCGTTTTTTGCCTTCCTCAGTCTTGGGCCTCAAGGTACCTTCCCTGAGAATGGATCCTTCAAGAGACCTGCAAGCATCCCTGGTCCCCTCTAAAGCCGTGAACTCAGAAAGGGTGGAAATGTGTAAATCATATGGCTTGTGTTTGGGGACTAGCAGTGGACCTGCTACACATGGGCTTGCTGTGAGATGTCTCTGTGTTTTCTTTTTACCTTCTTAGAATTGATAATTAGAGGAAACAAAGGAAGGAGAATCTGGGTAGCAGGGGCCATGCCACCTGCCTACTAATAAGCACCAATATACCTCCCTTAAAGTATTCTTCCATCCTAATAGGGACTTTTTAAAATGGGCAGCGGGTGAAGCTGGCAATGAGCGGCTTACTTAAGAGAGACATAGTAATGAAACAAAAGAGTGTTTGCTATTTAATTACATTTTAATAAGAAAGTGTGAGCACAAAATTCAAAAGTCTGAGAGGGGGTGTGGAATTTCCTTCAAGAGTTAACTCTTTCCTACCCTGACATTCTACAGCCAAAAAAGTTCCAGTGGCCGGAATAAGTGACAGATTGTGGGCACTGACCAACTATGCGCTGTAGAAAGCTGGGAGCACCGCCATTTATACACAAAGCCAAGGACTTCCCAGGCCGCAGCCGGCCCTGTCGGGGTCACCGCAGTGCTGCCTGCCCAGAGACGCGCCAGGAAGCACCCGTGGCTGCCTGGCTGCTCAGCTGGTGGCCGGGTGAAGTTAGTCACTCCTAGCCCGAAGTCACCAAGTTTGGAGCTTGAACAGGCTAGGAAAGGAGAAGGCTGGAAACCAGCTGCCGGGACCTTCTGGAGGGAGCCAGGGAAAAGAGAGCCGCGCTCCGGGAAGCAGCCCTGGCCAGTGGATGGAGTTACGGGGTCTACGAGGCGAGAGCGCACTGGCAGGCAAAATGAGGCAAGAACTTCATATCCCCCCGCGCAAGGGAAAGAGGCAGGGAGAGACTTTAAAAACACACTGAAACACCCCTTCAGGAGATGAGGTAAGCCGAGGTTAGCCAACCCAGATTGGTTGTGAAATATCACACAGACCCGGAGTTGCTGTGGCTTTAAATGAGGCCAAGGAATTTTTCTTGTTTTCCTGCCCAAATACTTTTTCTCTCTCAAGCTCCCTCTCACCCTCGTTCCCTCCTTTGTCCCTCCTTCCACCTTGATAGCTCCTGGTCCCTTCCTCCTTCGCGGTCTCCCTTTCCTCGATCACCCTCCTCCTCTCCCCGCGCCCTCCCCCATCGGATTAGGCGCGGACCGGGAAGGGTGGGAGTGGTGGGGGAAGCTCTCCCTTTAAGAGGCAGCGTGCAGTGACGAATTGTTGAAATTGCCATTGCAGGATGGCACGCCGCTATAAATTCATTGTCCCACCTCCTCGCATCTTCACAGCGCCTGAGCCGCTCTCCGCGCCCACAGCAGCCGACTGGGGATGACCGCGGGCAGGAGGACGCGGCAGCCGAAAGGACCCAGACGCGCAGCGTCGCCGGCTCGCGGCAGGCCGTCTCCTGCCTTCTGATTTTAAACATTTTAGGGCTTTTTACCCCCCGTCTCTTTTCCCCCTGCCTTCTGGTTCCAACAGAGCCGAGGAAGCCCACCAAATAAGAAAGGAAGTGGGTCAGAGCTTGGACGCTCCGCAGCCGGCGAGCCCCGGGCTTCGAGGGGGCGGGAGCAGACGCGCACCAGTTGCCGGCGGGGAGCGCGGTCGCCCTCCTGATTCTCTCTTCTCGTTTGTTTAGATCTGTTTGTGCAAAGATCTTGTCTGCATTGGGCTTCTCTCCCTTTTTGTATTTGGTAGCTCTCCACCTCCTGGCTTTTGTTTTTTTTCCTCCCCCCAACCCTTCCCTTTTAAAATTCTTCTTCCTCGGTCTCTTGGAGCACAATTTCAAACGTTTTCCAAACCAACAAAGAAAAGTTCGCACGCTGGCACCGCGGCCAGGACAGGCTGGCGCTCGGCTGTGGCTTCCCCCTACCCTTCCCTGGACACTTGACTCAACCTTGCACGCAAGTGTGTAGGGTGCGGGTGGGTGGGTGGGTGGGAGGGTGAGACCCCCACCCCCGCCCCTGAAACTTCCATAGCAAATAGCAAGCATCCAGCTAGACGCAACCGCGCAGCCCCTCCCGGCGGGCAGCGCACTATGCGGTTCAAGTGGGCGTCCCTGCTGCTGCTACTGCTGTGCGTGTCCTGCCTGTCCCTGGCCACTGACAGCCCGGCGGCGGCACCTGCCCAGGATAAAACCAGGCAGCCTCGGACTGCTGCAACAGCCTCCCAGCCCGGCCAGCGGCAGTGGGAGGAGGCGCAGGAGCGGGGCCGTCCGCAGCCACTGGCCAGGCAGCGTAGGAGCAGCGGGCTGGTGCAGAATATAGACCAGCTCTACTCTGGCGGTGGCAAGGTGGGCTACCTTGTCTACGCGGGCGGCCGGAGGTTCCTGCTGGACCTGGAGAGGGATGACACAGTGGGTGCTGCTGGTGGCATCGTTACTGCAGGAGGGCCGAGCGCATCCCCTAGCCACCGGGGTCGCTGCTTCTACAGGGGCACTGTGGACGGCAGCCCTCGATCCCTCGCTGTGTTTGACCTCTGTGGGGGTCTCGACGGCTTCTTTGCAGTCAAGCACGCACGCTACACTCTGAAGCCGCTCCTGCGTGGGTCCTGGACAGAGGCAGAGGCTGGACGAGTTTACGGGGATGGGTCTTCGCGCACCCTGCACGTCTACTCCCGGGAGGGCTTCAGCTTCGAGACTCTGCCACCACGCGCCAGTTGCGAGACGCCAGCGTCCCCATCTGGACCCCAAGATCGCCCCTCGGTGCACAGTAGTACTAGGCGACGCTCAGTGCTTGCCCCACAGCTCCAGGAGCAGTCAGCTTTCTCAGGAGTTGGGGACTCAGGAACTGAGACGTGGTGGAGGCGGAGGCGCCGGTCCATCTCCAGGGCCCGCCAGGTGGAGCTCCTTTTGGTGGCTGACTCCTCCATGGCGAGGATGTATGGTCGGGGCCTGCAGCATTACCTGCTAACCCTGGCCTCCATCGCCAACCGGCTGTACAGTCACGCTAGTATCGAGAACCATATCCGCCTGGCCGTGGTGAAAGTAGTGGTGCTGGCCGATAAGGACAAGAGTCTGGAGGTGAGCAAGAATGCGGCAACGACCCTCAAGAACTTTTGCAAATGGCAGCACCAACACAACCAGCTAGGCGATGACCATGAGGAGCATTATGATGCAGCCATCCTATTCACCCGAGAGGTAGGTGCGGCGGGTAGGTGTCCAGCTGTGGAATGCAGAGGCAGGTGGATGGACAGGTCTTGCTGGTGTCTCTGCTTCTCCCAACAAACAGCTCACCATTCATTATAAATTTGCCTAACTGTATCTTGCAGGACCCTCAGCCTCCAGCTCCACTCAGTAGTTCCAATTAGCCTCTGCAGTAACTCCTGCTTTAGGTGAGGAGACCTGCTCAGGAAATTAGCATTCAATAATGTTAGATGTCATGCAGCTAGACAGAGCAGTGTGGTGTATAAGCAAGATAAGTAGGCATGTTCGTGCTGTGGGAAGCTATCCATTAAGTGGCAAAAGGGAAAGGTAGGATTGCCTTTGAAATAATGTTCTCCACTTCCCAGTGAAGACAAAAACACTGCTTTGTCCAACTTCATGGGAAGGACTTGAAAGTTGGCAGCTGCTTTTATCTGCTTGATGATGTCCCTTGTAAATGTCCTTATACGAACCCTTCTGCAACGCTAGCCCTTTCCAAAGGACTCCTTTTCTAACGCGGCTTCCAAATGGGCTTCTGACGTGTCCACCTTGGAATCTGAGTTCCTGAGAAGGAAGGAATGTAGGAGGGCCAGGAGGATGAAGAAGCCCAATCAGCGGTGAGGACGCTCCCCCCCTCCAACCACCACCGCAGGGTCCTTTAACAAGGCCTTCTACCAGCACATCACAAGCCCAGCCCTCCAACCCAGCTGCCAAACAAGGGTCAAATCCAGTTGGAGGTTTGGTTTTGGATGGATATGTTTCTGAAGGTCTGGGCAGAGCTTCAGGATGTGGGGAAGAATGTGTTCCAAGGACTTCCCCACGTTAAGGGAGATGGTTACAGAGAAGGAAAGGGATGGATCATTATAAGCCCAGACATTCTGGGAGGAACAAATCTATTTACACAGTTACCAGACCACCGTGCTAGTGTGACATTTCAGACAAAAAGTCTTGCTGATGGTTGGGAGCCTCAGAGTTCACAATGCTGCCTTGGTTGGCAGTATTTTCCCCTTATTACCTTTTCTTATCTATCTTCCTAGCATCCCTGATTCCCAACTACTCCCTGTTCTACTGTGTGTGTGTGTGTGTGTGTGTGTGTGTTCTATAGATTATTTCAGCATCTATATGCATGTGTATACAAGATTGTCACGGCTATGACACACCTAGAAGTCAGCATTTTAAGTACCTTTCACATGCCTGGCTGTCACAGTCCTGTCCCCCATCTCTTCCTCAGTTTTCCGTGGATCTTGGGGTGAGTGAGCTGTACCCCACATGCAAGTTGAGCACTCAGTTGTCCGTCATATTCTTAGCATTTTCATTTAAGCTTTGCCCATTGCCAAAATAGAGTTCTCTGCCTACCTTGTGGTTCTCACATGCCTGCGGAGGACCGGTGTTTAAAAATTATTCTAAGTATAGGAGATGCATCCAGTATAGATTAAGCAACTACTAGTTGCTTGTTTGTTTGTTTTTTATTGTTTAAAATTGCAAACCAGAGTAAGGATAGACAATTCAATCACACACTGCAAAGATTTAGGTGTAATAAAGTTTTGCTACCTAATTTTTCTATTTCTACTAACGTACCCGTGGTATGGAGGAAAAAGTGTTGATAAAAAAAGAGAAACAGTTCTAGTTTATAGGGAGGACATAAATGTAACCCCACATACAAACAAAGACTCCAAAAGAAGCGTTTTGAGGGAGAAGTAGGTACCACAGCCTTTTGTACGATGGAAAAGCTTTCATCTCATTAAGAGATGTTCTGGAAGTCATCCTTTAATTCCTCTTTCTAGCATTAGTACAACATTCATTTTGTAGGCTTCCTTGTGAAGTTCTTCTGTAAAACTATCCTTCTCTCACTTGGTTTCCAAGTCTTTTTTTTTTTTCATAAGCAACTTTCCACTTCTGGGTTTCCTTGTGCTGCTATATCCTGAATGCCTGCCAAAAAAGAGGCTTGGGAGAGTTTGTAGAAGGAGGCTCCCTAAAGAAAGAGGGAAAATACTTTTGTAGGCAGACCACACCAAAAGGCAGTATACTGCCAATTGTAATAATTTTCTTTCAGTTTTAATACAAAAGTGTAGTCCATAATTCTAAAATTAACTTGAAGACCACTCGCTCTTTGCCCCCTTCCACATACTTTTTCTAATTATTCACCAGCTAAAAAGAAAACAGTCAGTGATTCTAAGTGATGTCGATTGCTTTTTCCAGGAAGGTTTTGTACTTGGTTAATTGACAGTCATTGCTTTCAGATCTGGGAAATGCATCACTGTTTTAACTAGACAAAGGCAAGATAGAAGTAAATTTATTTTCTAACTTCTTTTTAATTAAAAAATTTAAGTACATTATATTAATGGTATATAATATGAGTATGTAAGCAGGGATCAAAAAGGACATCCTTTGGGAACTGGTTCTTTCCCTCTACTGTGTGGGCTCCAAGAACCAAATTCAGGTTCTCAGGATCTAAGGCAAGTACCTTTACCGACAGAGCCAGCCACCTTGCCAGCCCTAATCTAACTTTACTAAGAATTTCAACAAAAAAATTCCAAGCTGGTTTGCACATGGGGAATATTTTACTTAAGTCCTCCCTGGCCTCCTTGTCAATCAAAAGCATGATTAAATAAAGCCAATATTATTTTTCTCATGGTCTCTAATCTATTCAACTGACTTCACAAAAATTGGATCTTTGTAAAGTACTTATATATGAACATGTTATTCAAATTTAAAAGAGGACTATCAGGTGGCTTGTGAAAAAAATCTCAATACTGGGCAATGCTCAGTTGAAAGGACTTAGTCTGTACAGTTAACCTCTAGCTAGTGCTTCAAAAAGTAGAAACTAAGAAGTCTAGAAGAGGGGAGATCAGGACTCCTCTCTACCATGGAAGTCAGGTATTTTCAGGCTAGCCATGTGAAAGAAAAAACTTTCATGGTTATTTTGTTTCAATGAGAAATATCCAGAGTTGGCACCAGGACTTCGTTTTTACAACTCTGTTTTGAATGTAAGATGTGTGTTGCTTAGCAGCCAGACGCTCAGCCATCAAATCCATGTTTTGATGGGCTCTGAGTTCTGTTCAAATTCTGTGTCCAAATGTCTTCTGCTAAATTGCTTGTTTTTCAGGCATGAAGCAAATGTGTGAGGAAGTGCTTTCCTCCTGTTTACTAGCCAGTAACACCTTGAATGTTGTGTCTAGGAGTCAGCAGAAGAGTGTTAAAAGTTCAGCTATCAAGCTAACACACTTTGCTGTCAAGACTATGCATGGCCTTCAGGAATGTTCTAATTATAGAGACAGCACCCATCACTTTTTTGGTACAAAGCCACTTCCATTGTGAATGGTATTCCTGCTGGAATTCACACTACTTCTGTCATCAAACATTAGAAATCTAGTCCCAAGGGGCTTACTCTTTCCTTCCCAGAGTTATTTCATCATTCTGACTCTCTTATTTATTGTACAATAAATTTTTAAAGACAGCTTAAAGCTTATTTTCCAAAATATTTACTCCTCTTTAGAAAAAAAATCTTTTTTTTCTAGTTCATTTTTTAAATTATACTTTATTTACTTTGTATCCCCCCCCTCTAGTTCCCTCTCTCCTCCCCTCCCAATCCCTCTTTTTCTCCCCCTTCTCCACACACCCCCCCTCCCCAAGTCCACTAAGGGAGAGTTTCTTTTTCTTTCTTCTGATCCTAGTCTGTTAGGTCTCATCAAGAGTGGCTGCATTGTCTTCCTCTGTGGCCTGGTAAGGCTGCTCCCCCCTCAGGGGGAGGTGATCAAAGAACAGGCCAATCAGTTCATGTCAGAAGCAGTCCCTGTTCCCATTACTACGGAACCCACTTGAACACTGAACTGCCATGGGCTATATCTGTGCAGGGGTTCTAGGTTATCTCCATGCATGGTACTTGGTTGGAATATGAGTCTCAGAAAAGACCTCTGTGCTCCAAGATTTTGGTTCTGTTGCTTTCCTTGTGGACCTGGAGAGGAGAGAAGGTCCACAAAAAAAAAAAAATCTTTCTTACTGATGTCATAATCAGAAATTTTTTCACATTCTTCTCTCTACGTCTGAACAAGAACAGTAAACTCTTTAATACTGCATAGACTGAAAGCATTGGGTAGAATATGAACTAGCTAAGAGACCCTACAATAAAAGTTCCATTAACTGTTGTTAATTACTCAAGTGTGCTATAATAAGCTATTATGCTGCACCTAGACTTTCTCTTCTCCCATGCCTGTCTTGGGATGCTTGATCCAGGAATCAGGTATTTTTTTTCTCTACTATTTGGTCCCTTAGGTTCTACAAATAATGGACACTAGGAGACAAAACCTTGGGAGAGAGAAAGGTTGTACTCTGTCATTGATTTGATGACTGAACCAACTGATTTGGTTACATATTTGAATTCTAATCCACTTCAAGCTTACAGTCAAGTAATCACAACTGCAGAAGAACATTAAAAGAGGCTAAATAATCCAGAAATGGAGAGAATGGTCACAGATTAAGCATCTCTAGATGAAACCTTGAGCCACAAAACAATGTATAAGACAAGGATGAGTTGTCTCACAGTAGTCACTGTGCATGTACACACATGGTGTGCAGGGAGATGAAGGCAACAAGGTAGGAATAGTCCTGATGCCATAAGGAGGGTTATCACCAGCAGAGAGGAAGTGATACAGGAATACACTCCTATATCAGGAAAACTGATAATGACTCTTACCAAGAATAAACAAATCTGTGACAAAGAAGAGGAGAGACCCACAGATTCTTTCTTGGTAACTCCATCAGGTCTCGTGGCAAATGTATAATTTCAGTGTTTCTCAAAGGGTTGGTTGATTTGATTTGGATTCAACAACTTGTTATTGAGCATTTCTTTAGTACTACCTATAGTGTAAATCATTTTATCTTTAATAACTGAACATTCAACTATCATGTTGTTTTGTTTTGCAGGCAAAACCATATATTTGAAGAGAAACATAGATAATCTCAGGACATAGACATGTCAGTTTTCCACAAATACACTGTGATTAATTTATTCAAATGCTCAGCAATTATCTTTATAGCCAGAGATTTTTAAAAGTCACCACTTTCCTAAATATTTATTCCAGAAAATACACAGCATTGATATTGCGTGGATATACCACTATGACTTTTGGCAGATTTGGTTATCCTCTGCAGAGCTGAGGTTGGTAGACTCCAGTTTTGGAGAGTACGATGCTAGCCAGACTCAGATGGATGAGTTAATAAGCAGACACACCAAAATGTCATGCGACATGGCCAGGCAGTGTGGAAATTCTATATACTGTAAGGAGATGCTGTAGGAAGACCGGAAACAGGAGGGTTGAATGATTATTGAGTAAGTAAAGAAAGAAGTAACAAACAGATTACAGAGGAAAATCATGTGTTGTGTGTATTTGTTTGCCTGTGCCACAATAATAATTATCCTCGGAGGAAGATATCTAACAACAAAGAGAAATTCTGACTCAGTTCGGAAGACTGGAAAGTTTGAGATCAGAGATCGACTGGGTGTATCTTCTGAAGAGATCTCTCTTCCTGATTTGTAGGAATCCATCATCTTGCTGTGTATTTACATGGTGTTTCCTTTCTCTGTGTGTCTGTCAAAGAGAGGGATGTGGGTCAGAGT